AATTAGAGAGCCCACCTGCCACCATCATTTTAGTTTATTGTGCTGGTTCTAACAAAATCACCTTGTTTGCTACTTTGTGCAATGATAGAAGAGTTCCTCCTGTATAAACTCTAGGCAATCAAACTACTTCTCCTTGATTACCAGCTTCTGTTACTACCAGCACCCTATCCTTATTCACCGTACCTGTTAGTTGCCACACTCCCATATTTTATTTAAATATCTTACTTGGCTGTAATTCACTCTCTACCCTCTCCCCCTTCCCCATAATATTCTGAATGGTGGTTCATTAAAGAGATGGACTGAAACTTACACTGGACAAGGCCTTCCAGAGATGTAGTTTCTGTCTAATAGGTAGATAGTTCCATAGTACACCTGCTATGCTGGACTGAATCAGGGGGTGATGACAGAGACACTGGTCTCTTGAGAAACTGGAAAACACAAGTGAAAGCAGGAAAGAGACCTTCACGACCATCTTGCCCTTGACTTTACAGGGAAATTGCAAGGGCAGATCCCCCCCTTTGGTATCACCAGTGGGGTGAATGATGCTCCTTTGATTTTAAAGGGAATTGCACTTCCACACTCAGGACCTGAATTTATTCAATTTTTGGACATCAGCTCCTTCTTGCCTTACCCATACCATGTTTAACCTTTACCATGCTTAGCTTTGTTTTTGACAAGGTAGGTGAGAGAGGGGACCTTGGCAGTGCAAGTGAAAAGGGAGGTAGATGCTGCTGCTGTGTTTTAGTTTCTAATAGTGGGAGGATGGTGCTCACTCCTGTGGGCAGACACTGCACCACCCTAGAACAGTGGTGCTCTTTCTCCAGCCTGTGGGACAAATCTGACCCACTAGATTCCCCACAGGTCTGAAAGTTTGGTGGCAGGGGAACAGTGGCAATTAACACTGCAACTGCCCATCCTGCGACCAAATTTCAAGGCCCTGCAGCCAGAGGACATAGCCCCACGCATCAGATGAGGCCCAAGTTGGATGTGCGGGACTGGGGGAAGTGGGCCCACTCTAGCACTTGCACTGAACCCGTGCTTGGATCGGGTCCACAGACCAATCCTGTGCACCTGATCCAGCCCTCAGCCCAGAAGGTCAGGTACCACTCTCCTAAAACAATAGGCACTTTAACAAGCGCTGGCCTCCTAGTTTCATGGTTTCTCCCAAGTTCTGTAGCTATGGAATTACTCCTTTCACAGTATGCCCGACTGGGGCAAGACATTTTAGTAGGAAAAAAACCTAACTTTTGGTTTTTAGTTTTCAGCCACGATGTCCTTATCTTGGGAAAAGGTTAAGCTGAAGTTAACTTAACTGCAGGTTGCACAGAATTCATTTTGCCTTGTAAAATGAAACTAATTGTTGCTATTTCCAATTCAGGACACAGCTGCGTAGGACTTCATATCCCCTCAGAAGGGCCCTTTGTTAATGCCAACGTGATAATCCTCTCCCACCCTTTGCTCTCTCTACACCTCTACTGAGGTGCCAGGAAGGGAGATTTTTCTGATGCCAACAGTTAATGCAGCAATACATTTGAGTTCAGCACCCAACAATTTTGAGGGCTGTTGCCAAGGCTTTAATTGTGTCCTCTGGCAAATTGCCACCATCTCTTTCGAAAAAGAGAAGCTTTTCATACTGTTGGCTCTACTGTTCCAGTAAGAGCAAAACTTTGAAGCACAGCAAAATCAGTTCTTTGCATTGCTGCGGGCATCACTCTAAGCCTCTTGTAGGAAGGGAACACAAAGCCCATTGGGCTTCAGCAAGTGAAAGTGTTAAGCTAATGAAGTCTGTACCAGTAGTTCCATAGGCAGAGATCCTCAATTACTGGCTGGAGCTGCAAGACAGCTTCCTGCAGCAGGTGTGCTTTGCAAAAGAGGTTGGAGGTGCTGTGCTCTAGATGGTCTTTGGCTTTTAATGTCTACCATCCACAGCATGTCACCTCTGTCTCCAGTTCAGGCCTATGCCAAATGGAGCCTCATGTTACTCTTCTACCAAGCAAAACAAAGTTTTTCCACGCTGCAGCTGTTTCTAGCACTGAATGCCACAGAAAGTAATTTAGCAGGAATTCTCTTACTGCTTCTAGAGGTCACAAGACACTCATAGCTGCCCAAATCCTCTAATGTGCAGATATAATGGAAGGATCTCAAGAACTTCCTCAAAGAGAACCTGTTTGGCCAACCTCTTCCCCCATGTAATAGGAGGTGAAAGACTACTGGGCCACAGACATAAAGGATAGGGACAGACGTTACACATAAACTGGTTTAAGTGATCAGAAATTGGTTTAAACCTGTAACAGAAGAGAAGCTCAGAGCACATAAACCAGTTTCAAAATGGCCCAAATCAGTTTAAGATAAACCTGGTTGAATGTAGTATCAGAGTTAACCGATTTGGGTCAAACCAGTTTATGGAACTTCTGTCCTAGACCCCCTCCTGGTTCAAGTTAGAGTCCCCCAGCATGCTTTTCAGCCCTGTGCTGTGCTGTGCTGTCTGCTTCAGAGACAGAAGGGCTGGCCCTTCTCCTCTGCTCCCTCGCTGGAGCACTGAGGGCTGGCTCATTGGCCCCTCAGGCAAACTCTGGCTAGGATCTGGGGCCAGGGAGTGGGGAGTAAACACCCCTTCTCCTGTTCAAACTTCCTGTAGGCTGTAACTGTCGACTAAAAATCCCAGAGGCACCTGGAAGCAGGAAGAGGAAGTGATGAGCAACCCTGCAGAGTCCTGCTACTGTGATTTTGGACTGCAAATCCCAGAGACCTCAGGAGTAGCAGGAAGAGGAAGCAAACACACAGCTCATGTTGGCCTCATAGCAGAGAGCCTAGTATCACCTGGCTTCTGGCCTGAGCCACAGCAGGCATGTGCCTGTATTTGCTGAATCAAAAGTCAAAGTCTGTTCATTTGTTTATTGGTTCAATCTTTGCAGTTTACACTAATCTGCAAAGACTGAATCCATTCAGCCTCAAGCTTTTTGACTGTCTGTACTTAGCCCAAGAGGTAACATGACTGCTGCTCTTTCCAAAGGATGCTCAGCCACCAAGACTGTTTAAATATCCCTTGTAGGTGCCTGTTTGGGTTTACCAATAAACTCTGGTCATGTGGTCTTGCTTTAGGAACACATTTTGAACATTTCGTATTTTAAAGGCATAACAAACTTGGGGGAGAGCTAGTGTTAAAAGAAGATTTCAGGAAAGTCCTTGTGAACTGAGGGAATGAGTCAGCTGGTTCCATGACAAAAATAATCAGAAAAGTCTCTTTCTCAAGGATTTGTGCACAGTGTTAGACAGCAGATTGGAATATGAACCAGCCTGCTATTCTGAGCAGCAGTGTGCTTTCAAAAGCCTTCTTATGAGGAAGTGAGCATTTTTGTTGGGGCATATTCATTCCTCCCATAGAGAGTGGATGGAAGGTGGGTGGGGGAAGTGGCTTGCAGTTCGTCTATCCTGGGATTGTTGGTCTGGCCCCCAGCACAATTTAGAATTGTTCTAGCTAGCACCTCCATTGCCATGGCTTATTAGTTTACACCAGAGACAGAGAACTGCCAAGCTGCAGGACTGTTGGATACCCTGTCTCAAACCTGGAGCCTGCCCATTTTGGAATGCCACCTTGTGCTATTTGAATACAGGTTCTGCAATGGCAACACAGAACTGGGGCAAACAGAAATACCTACATTCATGTTCGCACCTAAAAAAGTAGGCTGTCACCTATGAAAGCTTTTGCCTCTCTGAACCAGTTAATCTCCAAGGTATCAACCCACCATACCTTCTGCCTACCTTCATACTAGCATGGCTAACTCTCTCTACAGTTTCCTGGAGATCCCAATTTTGTCTCTGCAGTCCATAGGCATGCCTTTCTGTTGCAAGGTCTATTGCAAGGACATTAGTCCCATGGGTCAGTGATTCTCAACCAGAGTGCTGGGACCTCCTGGGGTGCAGCCAGATCTTTTGAAGGGTGCCACAAGGAGATAAGCAGATAAACTAAGCAAAGAAACACAGGCTCAGGCTTGTTGCTTCCTGGACAGTCTTCTACCTGTAGTGCCTGGCCTCTCTGCAAGGAGGTAAACACTGTAATATATCAATTAGTTTTTGAAATTGAATGCCACTCAATTCCTGAAAGTTATGAAGGGGTGCCTTGAGTCCAAAAATGTTGGGAACCATTGCTGTAGGTAGTGGAGAACAGGCAAAGCTTTTGTACTTTGCAATTCTTTTACTCTATCAGTAGCGATTCTCACTTAACTAACAAGTTCGTTAATCCATAGAGTAATAAGCCAGTGAGTGACTGTGGGAGGGAAACTCAGAGGAGCTGGAAGAAGCAAATCTTCAACTCCTCTTTCAGGACAGAATAGGGGTTCATAGCAAGCTGGCACCTATGAGAGGTCATAGGTCCCTGTCACTCTACTGCCGTGCACTAGACGTTAAAACTGATCCTGTACAGTTTGTCAGATTATCAATTAAAAACACTATAGTGGTCACTCTACTTTGAGGAACACTGACCAATGCTGACCAACAGGGAAATGATCTCTAACATAGGCTACTGGTAGGGGGTGCACATGCCCCCCCCAACAGGGCTGTCGCCGTCGGCAGCTTCTGCAGGTGCCCCCCCAGGTTCAGGAGGCACCAGTCACTCATGATCTCCAGCCTCCCTCCATGTTCTAGGTCACGGGTATAAAACATATGGCTTGTGAGCCAGATCTGGCCTATAAAACTGTTTCATCTGGCCTGTCAGTAGTCTAGCAAGTTACCCAAAGTTGGGGGGCATGGCTGGTGGAGTATGACCTGCTGCAAAATTCAGGGTCCCTGGCCCCAGTGAAAATTGTGATCAGTGACAGAGGGGTGAGTGAGGGCTGTTCAGATACAGCCCTTGCCTCACTGCCAGCTGTCCTCTACTAGCACTGCCATCCTCTCCCCACCTGTGCAGCTGCCCAGTCCACACTGCCACTCACCCTTGGATCCATATCACTGGCCCCAGACCTAGACCCACCACAACTGCTGTGAGGTCCACAGATCTGGCCATGGAGGAGCCCCACACCTCTGGTCTGGATCCAGCTCAGGGCCTTGCGGTGAGTTTGATATCCCTGCTTTAAGTTTTTTCCCCTTCTGAAGTATCAGTGTTGGCTATGCACACAGGTACTTAGCAGACCAATGGTCTAATCTGTTAGGATTGCATTCCTCTGTGTATGACTAGCCTGTTTGCTGCACTTACCCATGGAAAGTCTAAGTCATCACCTTCTCATGCGGTTCAAATTTAAGACCTGCTATTCTAAATGCCTCATGAGCTTATGGACACCAGGGGAAAAAAAAAGAAAAAAAGACAAGCCATGACTTGCATCAACATAATCTACTACAGCAAAACTGCTGACTGCTTTAAATATTTAGTGACACACAAGTGGAAGTGAAAACAGTTATTCCAATAGGGCAGAATCAGTGTGAGACTTACAATACAGGATACCAAGAGCCGAAAAACCCAGCTCTTCTTTGAAAAGACAATGGAATGCATACAATTCTACTGAAGTCAGGCTCCTGAGGGGTGGGCGGAGAAGGAGTCTCTCTGTTTGCTGGCTTACACAGAACATCGTGCAAAGACTCTGCTAAATGGAAGTATTGGTATATTATTTTTAAATACATTTCCTGGAAATTGTTTTTTCAACCTAATGGGAGCCATCAGCCTCAGCAGGTCGTGACAGCTATTGGCAGGAAAAGGTTGCAACCTAACTCCCTGCTCTGGAGCGTTTTAGAAAAAAAAGTTCAAGGTAGAAGAGAGAATCATTGTATTTCCTTGGGGGCACTGAAAAAACTGTTTTTCACAATGTTTTCCAGTTTCATGTCCAGTTCTACCACTTCCCTTGCATCTCATGATTAGGGAATTTTTCCTCCCTTATTCTCCAAATTAGTTTCCCATCTACAATCTTAATTTCAACCTATGACTCCTATTTATGTCCCTTTGTACCTCATCACATTTTAAGAGACAGTGGGTGCATCTACACAAGATGTTTACTGCAGACAGAGCCATCTCTAGGGTACAGTGAATCGGGGCAACTGCCCTGCACCCCACACTTGGGGCACCCATGGAGCCGGGTACAGCAGCTGCAGCCCCTCCTGTGAGGCCTGCCTGGAGCTGGTGGCTCAGCCCCATGCTTCAGAAAAAGCACAGAGATCCCCCACCCCCTCTTTGCAGGGGTACCATGGCCCCCGCACAGTGTTAAGGGGCCCCTGCACAGGCTGATATGCCCCAGGCCCTGCACTTCCGTAGGGTCAGCTCTGACTGCAGAGCTGCCTAATTACCTCCACAGTAAAGTCTCCACATCCACACATGCAGCCCTATTAGTCTGCAGTAAACTAATGAACTCTGCTGTAGGTTAGTACTTGTATTTACAAGTACTATCTTATGGCAGAATTATTTACTGCACCAGAATGTGTGTATAGATGCTGACAAGGCTGGCTGGGGTACTAGGGTGCTTCAGTGCAGGGGCTGCTTGCTGGCTGGCCCTGCACTGGAGCACCCTTGTGCCCTGGTCAGTCCCTCCACAGCATGTTGGGATGGGCTGGAGCAGCCATGGACTGGCAGGCTGATCCCTGAGCCCGACCCAGCTCAACTTGCCGCAGTCCCACGTGCACATGTAAATGTGACTCCCAGGAGCAATAAGTTCTGGCACGATGTGTGTTGGAGTTTATTGTTTCGCATTAATTGCATATGTAGACACAGCCAATATTAAGCATTCAAAAACACCTGCATGACTTAAGGACCCAAGTACCCTTTTCAGAATGGATTTAGGCATTTGATGTCTGAGCTGGAGTGAAAGTCAATGACTAAGGACAAATCTGTTTTTCAGTCACAACATTTACTTCAGTGTAGAGTTCGCTTTATACCAAGTGGCTCTCTGTCTCATGCTGAGTTCTGTGCTGCTCCACCTTCATCTACCCTTCCAAAGAAGCAGGGTACAGGTATCCCAAGTCATACCTCGCCCATGATTGTTTACTTGCATGGAAAACAATAAATTTTAAATCCTGTTAATACTATTTAACAGCTGGAAACCAGAAAGAGAGCTTGTAATATGGGACCAGCCTCCTCTCTAGGAAGTTCCAGCAAATACAAATAATAGTTTGGGAACCAATGCAGTAAATACTTCTTTATTTATGGTTTCTGTACCCTAATCTTGAAGAGAATGATGCATATGTTTGACTTCCCACACGTATAATCCTTTTTACATCGCTGCAATTTCTTACATGCATGCCTTTATAGGTTGGAGGATCCTAGTTTTGACTTCCTATTAGTCTGCCAAAGTCTTGGAATATTTCTTCAGACATGGGAAAATTGCTATAATTATAACTGTGTTATTATAGTGTAAATATCATGGAAGTGGTTTTATAGTAATTGAAAACAATTTTAAAGGCACATAAATCAAAGTCACTTCAAAACAACAGGAACTTAGCATCCAGCTAATACACACATATGAAATTCAGGGCTTGCAAATGCAATTTCTCCACAATTGTTTGTTAATGTTTATGTACTGTGTTTCAGTCCTGTGTAAACTTAGCAGGTGAGTTCAGACAACTTGGGAGGAAACAGTGTTTATAAGTGTAGGAAAGATAATAGATTCTTATTCAAACACACGACAGAAAGGGTAGCATATGGGAGGCTACCTGTAGCATACTCTTACCTTTCTGGCATTGAAGTATAGCCTTGTCTGTCTGCCCTCTCTCTTGGGCAATTTCATGATTTGCTACAGTTTAGCCATCCAGCCAGACTACAAAGACTTCCCTTCTTCAATTTTGTACTCAGGATACATTCAAGGCCCTTCTCAAACCACAGCCTTCACTTGTGTTGATACACAGTTAATCAATAGCACAAGGACCTTGTAGTCAATGGGCAGAATAACCTGCCCTGCCTTACAAACTGCACAAAGGGAGATTTCTCCTATTTTCTCTGAAAATCCCAACCGTGTACCCAAACAGAAGTCACCTCTCAGTTTATAGTTCAAGCCCTCTGTGCCTCATTTGCCCACAACCTCTTTCTTTACTTCCTTCATCCCTTTTTCCAGGGGTCATCAAGAGCTTACTCATCTTTACGCCTCACGTCCAAAACATTCCCAGCTTCCATAACAAACCTCTGGCAGGGAGGGGTTTGTTATATACGCCCTGCCATTTCTTCCCAGCATGCTCTGCTGTTCCAGCCCACAGGTGCAGGGGACTTGCACTACCCCCTCCAATCCTTGCAAACTTCATCCACTAGCATGCACCAATATGAGACTGAATCAGACCCAGGGCTGTGCTGGACCAGTAGGGTTCCTTAAAAGGCCATTGCACACTCTGGTATATAGCATTTAGAATCACAATACTTTACAAGATATAAAAAAAGCAATATTAAAAAGGGGATTTTTGCCTTTCTATGGCCAGAGGGTTCTTTTCATAGAAGGGCCATCTGACCGCAACTTCCATTTTCACAAGTAGCTCACTGACTTCAGAATCTAAACCAACAAATCTGTAAACTTCCTAAATTTCCAGGACTGAACTCAGACCAGGCATGCCAAGCAGAGACTTCTACTGTTTGAGCTGTAAACCTAACTGCATTAGTTCACAGAAAGCTGTCCTCTCAAAATGGGAGATGGACTAGGCAATGGGTCTGCTCCTCTCAGCCCATCAGTAGAAAGTACTTCTGACCCATTTGCTGCTCCAGAGAAACAGGACAGGCTACTAGGCCACATGCCAAATCTGAAAAGAAAGCCAAGGCAGGATTCTCTTGACTATTTCTTTCTCATGTTTTCTTCCTTCCAACCTACAGATGCTTGGTAGCTGCCAGCCATTTCCATTACAGTGTCTGCAGCTTTGGTGGCAGGGGGGCTTAGTCTGAGAATATTCTTGCTCATTCATTATGTGCTGGCAAAATTTTCCCCAGGAAGACAAGCCAAAGAGGAAAAATGATGATTTGCAACTGGTTAGGGAAACTAGATAGGGGAGTCATTACCAATCTGGTATATAATATAAGGTGGCTATGGTTCATTAATGTGCTGTTTGTGAGTGAGGTATGTAGCTTGGCTGCTAATAGAGTATTCAAAATTTATGTTGATATTAGCCTACTAATAATGTATTCAGAAACAGTAAAATATCTCACTGCTACAGAGGGACCCTCCCTCCAATAAAACAGTAGCTTTGAAAGCTCTGTCTGCTGTGGCAAGCTCAGACTTCCCCATGAAGCTCATTTTCCATGGTCATGCTGCTTCATACATTACCTCTCACATATATTGCATGTGAGTAAACCCTCCATCTTTTTCACTTTAATCTTCAAAATTCACCCAAACTACGTTTGCTTGTTGAAGCCTGTGTATTGTGTCACATTCAGGCTCCATTACTTTGGCATTGCAGCATGTAGATTTGCAGTCCTAGATCAGATTGGTGTTTTGGACCCAATGTACACTGAACCAATGGAAACATTTCCACTGAATTTGTTGGTTTTTGTATCAGGCCTTGGCTTCTTATTTCTAAGATGTCAGAGGCAGCAAAGGGCCAAGTGACTGGAAAAGAGGGAAGTACCTTCCAGACTACAAGATTTAGGAGGGGCCTGAACAGACGTGCAGATTAGTGTTTTGTAAATTCCTTTTGAGATCTCCAATATCTCAGTTCTAATCCTCAAAGGGAACTTGTAAAACATCTTTTGTAGATGAGGCTATGAACTTCACTTAATAAATCTACTGGATACAAAAAATCATGGACTACATAGAGACATTAGATTTATGACACATTACAATCTGCCTGACATCTGATTCACCAAGTACCTGCCTGACCTGACCTCTTACATTCTTTTCCCCCCTTTTCTCCCCTCCCCTCCTTTTATGCCCTTTGCCCTGATTTCCAACTATTCCTGTTTTTTTACCTTATATTATTACCACTGTAGCGTTTCCCTTTGGCTCCCCTCCCCCCATTTTCTTCCCCCTCCCTTACCTTCTTTAGCTCTTGTTTTTCTAATTTTTACCTATTTATATTATCACTGACATCCTGTCACACTGAGCTTCTCTCATTCCTGTTTTCCTGATCTCCTACTATTTCCTTTTCCACAGACAGCCTCTTTTCTACCTTGTATTTTATCACTATGTCTCCCTTTGGCCTCCCCCACCCCTTGCTTTCCCCTCCCTTACCTGCTTTACCTTTTGTCTTTCTAATTTCTACCTATTTCCATTCTCACCGACACCCTGCCACACTTTTAGCTTCTCTCATTCCTTGGAGTCTCAGAACAGCAGAGACTCCCTAGGCCTGAAGAAGGGTGACTGCACCTGAAAGCTTGCCAAGAACTTTTTTCCAACTACTCCTCTTTTATTAGACCAACTATCACATCTACTCAAAAAACCTTCCCTGCCAACACAGCTACAATCAGATACCCAGTGAAATAAATAAAAATACTAACAGAAATTATAGAGAGATCAGGCCCTGTATAGGTTTTTTTTTCCAATGAGAGAAATAGATCATTTAATGCTACCTTAGAAAACAGAAGGAAATCTGCTTCTTCCCTCTGTTCTCCATCCCAACTCACCAACCAACCAGATTCCATATCTCTATTTGGCAGAGAGCTCAGGAAAGCTCCAAGACAGAACTGGAAAAAGCAACTGGAAAGTATGTTCAAGTTCAAGGACATTTGGGTTCAGTGTGTGGGTGCTGGTAGAGAGAATGCTTTTAACTAGAACGGAAGGAGCCTCTCAGAATCAAGACAGTAGTTTTACTCTGTGGTTTATGGTGCTGTAGGCTTTAACAGAACTAGTGATTTTCCTTGTTTTGATTGTTTTTTCCAGGTGAAGAGTGAAGGCCCAAAACTGGTGCCTTTTTTTAAAGCCACTTGTGTCTATTTTGTCCTCTGGCATCCAACTTCCAGCCCTTCCTGGTTCAGTGCCCTCATCAAGTGTCTGCCCATCTTCTGCTTATGGGTTTTTCTGCTGGCACATGGGATCAATTTCCTAATTGCACATCGAAGTGCCAGCAGGATCTTGGCTGGATTAATATTCTCGTCAGTAGGGGATGCCTTCCTCATCTGGCAGGAGCAAGGTTACTTCATTCATGGTAAGCAATGTGCCAGTCCTAAAGGAATGAAATGGTAACTGGGCCATCACTTTATTTAGTTCTGGATTGCTGGGTCATATACAGTGTTTATACATGTGCTCCAGGATGCTTGGGGTGGGGAAAGAGGGGCAGTGCTTTAATTAGAGTGGCTCAGAGAGGTAATTAAAGTGCCCAGAGCATCATGTGCATCAGTGTCCCTGCAGTGAAAAACGGCGGTAGGGGAGCTTTAAAGCGCTCATTTGAATGTTAGTTAACTAAAGCTGGTTGGGGGCACTTTAACTAAAGCTCATGAATTAACAGAGTCAGCTCCGATGCATTGCAATTACAGTGCATCAGAGCAGCATCAACATATATGTATAGGCTCCCATAGTTTAATTATTCATCCAGTATTAACTTAATCAAGGTGAGGGACTTATCCCTTGCATAAAGCCATTGCAGTTAGGAGAGTCTTGTCATGCATAATTTCCCCTAAACACTTCTGCTTCCACATTCTGAGATCTGACAGCAAATTGGTGTCCATATCAGGCAGATGACTACATATGCCAGGGATCACTTGCTGGTTATCACCTGGACTGGCAGGAGTAATATTCAGGGAAAGAGAAAAGGAAGCTCCCCATGACATTCAGCCATGAGCATCTAGCTGGTCTGTGAAGGGTATTCGGTCAGTCTTCCTATTCAGAGTTCACAGCTAAACTGTACATCATACAGTTCCCACTATAATGCAGAGAAGCTAAGGGGAGTCCTATGCTTTGGAGGTGAAGGTGGGTGCTAGAAGCCATGACATCAAAAGCCTAGCCCTAGTTGAAGATGAGCTGATGTGAATCAGTCAGCCTAAGATGATTTTGCAAGACAATTATGAGGCTAACAAGCAGGAGTATCTTGAGGGCGACTATGAGACCCCCTGGCAGCAAGAAAGAAATCAATCTTGTCCTACTTGAACACCTCAGGGTAACCTCCTCACAGTCTTATCTTGGTGGAAATTGTATTGTATGTTGGGAAGCTGTTCCCCAGAGTCCAAGTGTGCCCACTGGATCTATATTTTTGCTAGCTCCACCAGACCCCTAGTCCTACTCATAGCAATGGACACAAATGTTACCCCATGTTGTGCCCCACTAGCACTTGTTTCTCACTAATTGGTCCCATCTGTGCTCCCAGGCACTAGCTCACCTTAGGGGTATTAATTGTGCCCTCCAGCCACCCCCATGCCTTACAGGTCTTAATCTTGATTCATTCACTGTGTCCTCTGGCCCCATCTGTCTGCATCAGTCAGCCTACAAGGCCCTATTTATTTCTCTAGGCTCCTGGACCTGTCTTAACTCCATCCCTTCTACCCAAGCCTTGGCTATGAGCCTCTTGACCTAAGCCTAGCTTTTCTCCCTTTCCCCACCTCAGCTCAGGCCTACGTCCTCTTAGCCACAGCACGTCTGTATCTTAATTCAGCCTTTGGGATCTTGGCTTTACTCTAACCTGGCATCCAACCCTCCAGGCCCTTCCCCCTGCAGGCCTGGAGACACAGGAGGCCCCAGGTACCCCACCACATGATCTTCTGTCCACCTCTACAGCCACAAGCTAGTTCTTTGGTCACAAGCAGACATCAGCCACCTGTTTCCAACCAATATGCTTGAAGCTCCTCTGAGTCACTGTGCTGCTACAAGACCCTCATCCCTACTCTCTAAATCCCTACCAACCCCTTGCATACCTTGTCTAGCTTGCAGCTTGCTCCCAGACAGCCTAAGCTAGCAGAGGTATCTCTTCTTACAGGACTCAGAACCCTATTGCCTCAGGAACCCAGATTTATATCCCCCAAGCACCACCTTTTCCAGGTAGGTGTGCTCCTGACTGGCCGCAGGTTTGCTCTCTCCACTTAATGAGCAGCAAGCTGCTGTTTTCCTAACTGTGTTGTCTTTGTTTCCCTCCTGCCTAGCTTGAGCTCCTGCCTGTTGCCCGGCATCTAGCTCCTGAGTCATTACTTGCATCTGTATAGCTCTCTGGCTAGCTACTCTCCTAGAGGGAGCCCTTACTCATCTGCCTGCAGACCTTCCCACTGCACTTTCCTTCTTACAGTAACAAGAGCCTCTGGCTCCCTGTTATTCTGCCTATATTCTATAAAGAGAATGCTACATAGCAAAACCCCCCTCCAAAAAACCCAAAAACTACATGCCAAGAATGTTTTGAGAAACTTAGCTCAGTATCAAGGGAGGCACAACAAAACTGTGGGCAGTCAGGACCTAATAATTTAGATCCCAATGCTTTTCACCTTCAGCAATGCTCCCTTTAGCTTCAGAAAGCCAGGGCAAATCATGAGTTTTTGATTCCTTCATTTAATTGGACTGATAGAATTCCTGAAATCAATGTCCACCAGCCCAGTTGCTTCAAACACTCCATTGACTGCAGCTGCTGACAACTGCACTGGGACAATGCTGTGAAATGAGGCAGCCTCTCCTATTCAGGATGTTTTCAGGCTTGAATGGTGGAGACTTCTGCCTCCACCATCCCAAACAGGTCAATGTTTTATTTTCTCTGGCATACCCCTGAGCTCAGATTCTTTCAGGAAGGGGAAGAATTTGAGGTGCTAGCTATGAAAAAACAAATGCCATGAATCTGGCTTCAATGCTGCTCTTCAAGGGCTTATCCAGAGCCCATTAAAATTCAACAGAAAGATGCTTACTCATTTCAGTGGGCTTTGGATTAGGTCCTAACTGCCCACAATTTTGTTGTGCCTCCTTGATACTGAGCTGAGTTTCTCAAAACATTCTTGGCACGTGGTTCTCTGTTATTTTACAGCCTTGATCTCATCTGGGGGTCCACCGCTCAGGTAGCCAGTCTATACCTGAGAGCTGTGTCCCAGTGAGCAAAATGGAAAGGGTAGTGTCATCAACCTCCCCCCCACCAGTACCTGCTTGCTGGTTGAGAACTGCTGCTTTGGGGGATTTAGACACATTTTTTTTCCATTAAGTTACATAAAATGTGTATATAATATTCCTATGAAGTATTATATACTGTGAAAATATCAGCTTTCATATTGGGTTTTTTTCACAGGCTGATGTTAAACATTTGGCCTTTTGAGTTACCTTAGCAATCTTGAATACTAGTGAAGGATACAACTGACAGATTTGAGCTTCAGGCACTTACTGACAAGATATACACCAGAATCTTTGCCCTCCACTAAAAAAAAATACATTTTCTCCTTGTTTAAAGTTAATATGTTAGAGCTGAAATTGTCCAAATTTTGACACTGTTCTTTAAGGACATTTCAAATTTAAGTATCCAATAAAAAGAAATTTTAACCAAATTTTGTTTCCAACCCCATTAATATAGCTTTCAGTCTGAAAAAAGAGAGTTTTGGAGCTGGTCTTCTATGAATAATTTTGAGAAGAGTTTACTAAAGGGCATTTGTTTGTGATTTTTATAGGGAAGTGAAAGCCCTGACGACTTATTTTTGATCTGATATCTTTTTCCCCCCTCTTCTGCTCTTTCAATCAGCTAATAGAAAAGAGCTTTGCAGGTAGCTTCCTCTTATATGTAGTAGATATTTGGTAACTGTAAAGTTCATCTTACTTGGTGATAGACATTTTAAAACAATTCAAACAGTGTAGGCAGGGAATGACATAAAAAGCAGACTTAAGTCACTTGAGATGAGGTTGGAGCCTCCTTCATTGGGAAAGGTCAGGCAAAGTAGCCAAACAAGTCAGTTGCTTGTGCTGCAAGTGGTCCATAACGAAATGGGAAGAAGAACAAAAGATGCAGAGGGAAAAGGCTGAATTGGCTGGAAAGTTGTATTTGCAGAGCTTGGTTGGGAAGGCTTGTCTGAGTAAGGGCTCTGTCCAAGTATGAGCGTGTAATCTGCAAGCCTTTCAATTACAGAATTAATGTATCCATTTTCCAGTAGTTAAGATTTTCTCTTCTTTTATCTATTTTCTGGCCTTTAGCCACTCCCACTCCAAAATGAGCTTTTTGGAAGCAGCTTATGTCTTGTCTGTGGCTAACTCAGCATGTATCAGAAACCTCTTCCTCTCTCTGATTCTCCTTTTATTGTTCTCCTTTTTTCTTGTTTCCTCTTCCATTATTTACTTTAGCAGCACCAAACCAGTAGGGTCAGTAGCATTATACCAGGGATACATTTGACATATTGTCTCATCCTTTACTTCTACTGACTCGTGACTTTTTCTTCCCCCGGCACTTCATAGGTGTCTGTTTCATTTCCATGGCTCTTCCTGTACTGCCGCATCAGAAAGTTGCCTGTGTCACAAAGGGTTTTGGAGCTAGTATTCTAGGAATAGCTAAAGGCCATTTGTTTGTGATTTCTTTGGGAAAATATGTTCAGTTTCATTGAGTTTTCCCTCAGCACCCCGCAACTGTCCATGAACAATACCTTGTACCCATCTAGTCCTTCCTTGCCTTTCCCACAGGTTTGTTTTCTAACTTGATGTTTTCAACTTGATGTTATTTTCTTTAATCCTACCCCTGGCTTTTCTACATAATGTCAGTGAACCCTTTGGAGAAGAAACCTCTCCTGACATCTGCTTGGAAGTATTCTCACATTCCTTAATTTCACATAGGCCTTTACGGTGTTTTCCCGTTTGATGTAGAACAAATAATTTTTCTTCCAGCTTCTCTGTAGTTTCCCTGGTCCCTACATTTAACTCCTGGAATTTTTTTCGCTTCCTGTTCCCCAAATTACTTAGGTTACTCTCCACTGCACTTCTCTTTTACCTCCTTCGCCCTTTCCATATCATTCATCTTCTTCAGTGCCTTGCTTTTTGCATGTGGTCTCTGACCTACCTCTCTCTGTACATCTTCCATTCTGTGTATGGCAGTGCTGCAGTGGCTTGGTAGGACATAGAAACACTCCTGGTGGAACTTCGTTCTGATGTTCACCAAAGGTGAAGACACCTCCCTCTGAATGAGATGCTTCAGTACAGTGTTTTGGCTTATGGTTGTGATAAACATGTACAGCAAACCTCTCACTGCTATTTTAGTGACTATGGAGCCCCCACTCCCCTGGTACCAGAACATAGTGATCTGCTTTTCAGTCAATGGCCTGCTGCATTAGATTGCAGCCAATTCAGATTCTTTTCACTGTTCAATTTTTAGTGTGTAGGCCTAAGATCTCATGTCTGAAAGACTACCTTTTTTCTTCTCTGTAGATAATTGCAGAGGTGTAATGACCAGGGCCTACACCCTGAGAGGCAGCAGGGGTGGTGGTAGGGGCTGGACTGGTTGCAGAGGTGGCTACCAGTTTTGCACCTCCTCTAAAAGGACACCTGCATCTGATGTCTTGGTATCTGGTGTCTTGGTCACCCACCGCTCATTTTGCTACTGGATAATTCATGTATGGGGATTACAAAGGTGGTTATCAAAGACAGGATTTCACTTCCTGTGACTGTAGGTACTCAGGTAATTTCTTAAGGAAGCATTTTGTCTGGTAAGGATGGCCTTCTCTACAGGCAACTCTGTATTAAGATTATTCTTTTGAAGAAAAGGGTTCAGATTTTCAAAACATTACAGTGGGAATTTTGCTGTTAGGAGCTGACTGAACCTTCATCATAAATAGTGAACCCTATACATTCAGTTTTCCTCCATTGGGTTCTTGATTGTCATGGGGTAATGTTTGCTTGTCACTCTGATTAAAGCTCACAGTCACTGTGACAATGTCTCTTTCCAGGTTTGCTGATGTTTGCCATTACGCACATCCTGTACTCCTCAGCCTTCGGGATGAAGCCTTTGGACCTGAAAGCTGGCATTGTGATGGTCCTCATCTCCTGTTCCTGTTATACCTTCCTTTATTCCTACCTCTCCGGCCCATTCACCTACCTGGTGGCTGTCTACGTTGCACTGATTGGCTTCATGGGCTGGAGGGCCATTGCTGGGGTGCAACTGTGCAATGACCTTTGGACTTGGACCAAGCTTTCAGCCTGCATCGGTGCAATGCTTTTCATGGTGTCAGATCTGACCATTGCAGTTAACAAGTTCTGTTTTCCTGTGCCCTACTCACATGTCATCATCATGGCCACTTACTACGCAGCCCAGATGCTAATTGCACTCTCAGCTGTGGAGAGCAGGGATGAAGAGGACTTCAAAAAGAGGAACTAGATGGAATGCTGGCAGGTTCATGAACTCCTTGGGTATCACTGGGGTGCTGAAGCTGCTTTCATCTCTGAGAGAGAACAACTCCTTTTCTCTAGGTGCATTGGTGATATAGTTTTGCTTCTTTGAAGCACTATCTTTGGGGCTTCTTTTTAGCTGGCTCTCCCTAAATGCAGCTTACTTCACTGTGGAGTCCACATCAGAAATGCTTAGACTGTTCCTGCAGTAGCTACTCATAGATCTTTTCTTCTTTGAAAACTTCAGGAGTCCTCTCTAATGCTACGTTGTATTTGTTAAGCATGAGGCTGGTGCTGAATGCTGTGGAAGGAGGGGGGCTAATTTAAAGAGACCATAAAAAGAGGCTGCATGGTACACTGGGTTGAGACTTACTTTCAACTCTGGACATACAACTCCAAATCCCATCTGAAGTGATAAGTGAAAAGGAGTTTAATCTAGTTTCTAAGCTAGTCCCCAGTTACATGCATTACAAAACCACTACATTGTGTGAGGCAGTTGATAGTTTCTGCTCAAAGGATGACTGTGATTAAATAGGCAAGAGGGTCTTGCAGGTCAGGACTGAGATGCATTAGCAAAATATCTGGCAGGAAATTCTCACTCTACTTGGTTCAAACCAAGGTTCTTTCATTGTTCCAGATTCATGCAAGCTTTTCCTAAAAGGCCATTTCAGGCTTTTTCTGGCTAATGTGAATGCTATCAAGCATTTAAAACATGGCAGACTTACAGTGACAACAGTAGAATGCAATGACATTCAGAGACTGTGAAAACAGGAAATGAGAAGGTTTTTTTAAGTGGATAGATTACAATCCAGGGACAAGTGCCTAAAGGTAGGTGGCAGTTTTAGCAGTCATTTTTCAGCATGTGTCATCTTGGTTTGAGATAATCCTGTAGAGCAGTTCCAAGGTGTGATGGAGCATTGGCTCTACCTTTCAATATCAGACCTCCACCTGTGTCACCAGTGGCCTTGTTGGCTCAATTTGTCACCCAGGAAATCCCATGAACATCCACTCTGCCTTCAGCTATAGGTGTTTTGGAGCCCCCGAATCAGTGACAATATTTGGGCCAACCACATAAGAATTCAAAATCAAGGTAAAGTATTAAAACAGGAAGCACTTCACACGATCCAATCTGGAACATAGCACTTTGAGCACTGTGACAGTTATTCCAGACAGAGGTCTTTGGATCCCTCATTAGAGTGAACATGCAACTGTTGTACCTATGAGCTTGGCAGAATTTCAGCAGCATCTGTTTATTTAAATAAGGTCAGTGGGCTTTTCTCTATTGCCACATGTGTACACTCACATGTACATGTACAGTTGTACAGTGTTAGCAACGATCATATGCAAACAGAGGTATTAACAGGACCAAGGGTGCATTGTACTAAACATAATACGGTAGGGTTGGGGGGGAGGAGGGTCAGTCTCAGTAATGAATCATAATTGTGTTTTTCCCCTGGGTTCAATTTTTGTTGAGACTGGAATCTGACAATTTAGCCAATCATTAGGCTAATAATTGATAATACTTGGCATTACTTATGCATAATCTTTGCTTTCTGAGGTATAACTAGGAAGCTTGGCAGCCTGAGCAGCATCTGTCGGCAAGCGGGCAGCAGTGGCGGCTACCGTTCTTATGCCTTTTCTAAGTCAATGCCTGGGGCTTGTGTCCTGCTCTCTTGTTCGTCCACCCCCTAGTTATGCTACTGTATGTTATGCTGCTGCTTGGAATACTATCCATCTTATCTGTCTGCTGTGTAGTTCGTTTCTTATGAAACTGGCTCTTCTAGACCAAATGTCTTTTTTGCTTTCTTTTTTTCCCCCAGCCAATGGCGAAGAACCAACTTGATGTTCACTTGACTTTGTAAAACCCCTACTTTAGATACAGCTTCCTGAAAAGAACTGTTCTGTGTATTCAAACTGGCATATCCCTTATCCCGTCATCACATTTTCCTCGATGCCATGGATTTCATTACAGAATCAGAGACACTAGAGAGAGAGATGGGAAAACCCATTCTATTACATTCCTGGCTCTTTGGTCATTTGTCAGAGTAGGATTTTTCTTCTTCCTTTAGAGTCCTTCCTTCCTGTAAAGAACTCTGGTGAGGTTATGTTTTAACCATTTTTTCTAACTGTTATTGTGATTTCTCCTTCACATGGGACGCTTGACACTGGAATCTTTTTCTTTCCCAGTCATTCATTTCCTCCAGTGAATTGGCTTTATATATTGCAGGACTGCATATATGGGCTGAGCTGCTACCCCAATTTCTCTTTAAAGCTTAAAAAATGCTTCAAAGTGTTTCATGTGGATCACCACTTATAAGGAATCCAGCTGGCTTTCCAAATGAATATGAAGGGGAAACAAGTAAATCATATAGGTTTTGTTCCCTTTGTTGAATCCCAATAGGGTCCCTTTAACATTTATCTTGTGATTAAGCACTGTGTGACCCTTACTCCCATTGCTCAGGGAAGTTACTTATGAGTAGGCTCATTGCTTCTAGTGAGGCTACTTGAGTAAATAGCTACTCCTGAATGCGAGTGAGGTGTTCACGGTCAGGCCCTGTGTTGAGCACGCTTCATATTTGTGCCTAGCATGTCTGAGCCTGATCCTGTGTGTTCCTTCTGCCAGTGGCAATACTCTCACCGAGTCTGTGCTGCAGCCCTGCTCCCTGTAGCCCCGGGGACTTACCACTGTTCAGCTTAGTCCAGATACAGCTGGAGCTTTTGCTCTTTCTAGCTTCACTGTATTCCCTCAGGAAGGTCACTCCCATTTTTCCCTGTTATTAAATATTGAAGGGAAATGGAAAGGTTTTCCTGGAGGAACTATAGCACTTAGAAGAGACAGTACCAGATCTAACATAGTCCCAAATGTCAAGTTGGGAGTATTCACAATTGGTGTAAATGGGTTCCTTTGAAATGCTTTTCAATGGTTATGCTGATTTACATCATCTGTATTATGCTAGTCAGGGTTTGCTCAACCCCCAGTTTGAGGGCCAGATGCAGCCTGCAGAGCCATGGCATCTGGCCTGTGGAGCTCTCCACACGTTGGGAAATTTGGTGGCAGAGGACTGGTACTGATTAACACTGCTGCTTCTCCCCTGCTGCCAGATTTTCACACCCCACATGACTGGATCAGCCCCAGGCCAGGCTGTTGCCATGTGGCTGGATAGGGCCCTGGCAGCACCTGCCCCAAGTGCCAGCCTGGGCCCCCACGGTGCCAGGGTGGGCCCACTGGCTAGATCCAGCCTGCAGATGGACTTGGCACACCTATCTGGCTTGTGGGGCAAAAAGGTTGGGCACCACTGTGCTAGTCAGTGTGGGAAGCATGCATTTCCTTCATAATACCCAGCATGTTTCAGCAAACATAACCAATGTATGCTGACCATGCTTACCCTCTGGAGTTATCTCCTGCTGGAGCACGCATGAGGAAGTAGTATAACTCACACAGGCCTGTATAATCTCTGCCTGCTAATGCTGTTGCATAATATTGGCACCAGAGGAATTCTGTGCCTGCCTGAAATCAACTGCTATAAGAGGTTTATACCATACAGCATCTTCATTCATCAGTTTTGCTTACCCTGTGGCCCCAGCTTGAACCCTGCCTTGCTGCTCTTTGCAGATGTCATCTGCTGTTATACAGCCAGACTGATTGCAAACCTCTTCTTGTCATAAAATAAGCCAGCTAGAGAAAATATGTGTGGTCAGTGCTAAAACTGCTTGCTGGGTAGTGTGACCAGAGTCCAACGAATGGTGAGTTGAAGTATTTAACTATTCCTTATTGCTTTGGCGTATCTGTTCCTCATTGTCTTTTCCAAGGATCCCTGCCCCCCTTTTGCAAAAAATGAGGAATCCAATTAGTACCCTTATTTAAATGTTGTAAGCTCCCACACTTAAACAGTATTGTCTTGTTCAGCTGTAGAGATCAGTATTCTTTAGTGTCCAGAAGAAGATCCATTAGTTTTCTCCAAAATTTTTGTTCGACCTGATTTCACTAATTTTGTGGGCAACATCAGGCCTTGAGCCTGATGATAGGAACTAACTAGTATCAATAGGAATAAATAGTGTTAATATATTGCCAGTTCAGTATACGGCAACTGATGCAAATAGAGTATGATTCCTGTAAAATGTGCTGTCACTTCCAGGGGCTCTGTGAAGACAGTGAGAGTTGGGCTGTGTCCCAGGCCCTGGCTCTTAATTTCCCAGATCAGTTTCCCTTCCCCCATCCAGCTCTGTGTGTGGTTTAATCTGTACTACTTGAACAAAACCATTTTCCCAGAGAGTGTCTTCCTGGGAAAATGCCAGCTGCTATGGACACAGAAACAGGGAGCAGTTCGTGACAAGGGTCTGTGTTTGACCTTCTCTCCTGGGATGATAATAGTTGTTGTGACACCAGTGAAGGCCAAATAAGAATGGAGAGCACATAACTGACTGGTTCTTTTCCAATCCTTTCCTGCCTCTCCTACAGTTTTTCTTTGCCTTTTAAATTTGAGGGTTTTGTTCCATTTTCCTGACTTTACATTCCCTTTAGAAGCAAAATCTTTAAGGAGTGCTTTTTGGCACAACAACCTTACAGGAAGGGAGTACAAGCAACGTACATACAGTACATTGTATTCTTGGGCCTTGGTCTTAGCTTCCTAAGATAAGAGGCATCCAGTAGTTACACTCAATACACTGTCCTCAGAGTCCCCCGAAAAATTCCTGTGCATGGTTTACTGAGGTTGTGTAATATAGTTTAGGCCATCTGTTTCAGAGTGTGTTAATCCTTCAGTGTTAGCAGATCCACTATTCAGAGGCGCACTAAGATTGTCTTGAGTCGATCTGATATATCTGTTACTGTATGCAAGACCCAGTACTAAACTCCTTTATTTAGACAAACCTTTTTGAGGACAGTGAACTTGACTCTGACCTTACTCTGTTTTTAAACTCTTGTTGCTGGATTCTTGTTACTGGGGTTACACAGGGTTGTAGAGGAGAAGAAGGCCCATAGACTTCAACAGATCCACTGCTTACAGATCAAAATTGAATTATATGGGAATTTTGCCCAGGCTGAAGATCTTAATACATGACTTGATGTGTTTCATTCCTGGGTCCTTACTTCATGATATTGAGGCAGTGATGAACATTGATTGGGGTAAGACTTATTTAAAAGCAGTATTGAAATAGGATGGCTGAAGAAATCACATAATTATCTGATGGTGACACCATTAAAAACTTTTAGAATTCCTCTCTGAAAATAATAGTGTCTTTCCTTTCTTTATTTCCCATATGTTTTCATGTTCATGTTTCCATACCCTCTTGTGTTGGTACCATGGTTATTTCTAAGGTAGCTCTTTAGTGACCTTGAGGAGAAAAAGGTCAAAGCAAGGAGCAGATGTAAAGCTCATTGTTGTGTTGCTTTCTGTATTGTGGACGTATGGAAGGGGGGAATTGCTTGGTTTGGACATGGAGAGCACAGCACAGCACATGAGACAGCACAGTTGGTGGTCTGAGCGCAGGACAGGGAATCAACAACTCCTGAGTGCTTATCCTGGCTTTGAGACTCACTCCTTTTGTGGCCTTGGGTAAGTCACATAACCTCTCTGAGCCAGTTCCTTAGTGAGTGTAAATGGGTGTGATTCCATTAAAGTCAGTGGAGATACACTAGTTTACTTCTGCTGCAAGAGTGGTTCTCTGTGTCTGTCTTTAACCCCAGCTGTAAAATGGGGACAATACTACTTACCTACCTCACAGGGGTGGTGTGAGGATTAATTAATATTTATGCACTGCTTTGAAGACAAGATGTGCTGTAAAAGTGCTTAGTTTTTATATAAATGCTTCTAGGAGACTGTAGAAATTCTCCACAAATGTGATGTAGCTGCCTTCTTACGTTTTGCATTGGATGGAAAAAATAAATGCAAACTATTTATCTCTGATATCTGTTAGGGCTGGGTCCAAACCAAAGCTCTGGACCCAGGCACACCTGAACTTTGAGGAAAGAGGGTCTTTAAAAGTCTGAAATCCCATCCCAAATTTTGCAGCTGGCCTTAGCTAATCTAAAGGCCTGAACCGAAACCCCAGATGTGACCACATCTGCGGCTT